CAGGAGTAAATCCTGTTTGTCCTATCTATTCAGTTTTGACTTTCAATGTTAGAAAAATCCATGGCAATTTTACTTAACTCTATTTCTTAATCAGGCGTATAAGCTGCAGTTTAAAGAGGAGAGAATTTATACCAAGCCCTGACAATGGAAAGAACACTTTTTGGTATAAGGCTGTTTAGTGCTAGTTTGTGCTTGTGTGAATAAGGGACTGGTGGCATAGGGGAAATACATTTAGAAATGCTTGCGATACTTTCCTTTTGGTTGAGGCTTTTGACAGAACAAAATGTCCTTAGGTACACTTGAGAGCCGTATGCCAGGAAAGAAGAGGACACATCAAACAATAAGTAACTATAACTAGGTAAACATTCCATAACAAGTGTCTAGGGTTTTCGATTTTCAACTCTAACCTTTGAAAATGACTAAGCCAAAGCAGTCCACTGGGAGTCAGAAGGGCTGCCTCTGCTCTACTGCACCAGGCTCTCTGGGTCAGACCAGCTGCCCACAAGCCTGAGGCACTTGTCTAAATCACAGATTTAGCCATGAACAAGCCAAGGTTTGTTGACCATGAAGTAGTAGAAGCCTCTAACTCTACTACTGTTATTTATGTTATCTTTTTGTAAGGAAATAAGAAAAAAACAGCAAACTGTTAATTGTTCAGCACAAAATGGTGTCTGGCTAGTGCTGTGTCCTCATTTAAATAAACAATATGGAAAATGCAGTGTTGGTGGTTAATGGTGAGTTCTGCTTTTGAAGTCTGCTAGTACTGTGACTTTCCTAAGTTGGTATATATTTTCTTATGGATTTTATAACAAAATTAATACTTTCCCTACCAAACCATAATAATACTTAAGGAGTAAAGTATTCAATAAAGAAGTTCACAACTGGACTAGGATGATCACCGACCACAGTCACTGCTATGCAGCTCCTTGCTCCACTCCTTTCCATGGTATTAATGCTAGAAAGGCAGAGTGCTCCTATTCTGGCAAAACTTAACTGCAAAAGACCAGCATATACTTGGGTCATTGTGGAGTGGACTACATATCAGTATTATTTATGAAGCAAGAAAGCAGAAGATATTTTATTTCTAACATTCACTTTCGCTAGTAAAACAAATCTTCTAAAATATAAATAAGCTTCTCAGAGTATGAAACAGTTCTGAACTAAGGATTCTGTTAGTCTTTATGATGAGATCTTAATTATCATCTGAAGACCAACTGAGACAGCACTGTTGGAACTAACACTGGTATTTCTCTAATGCCTCCATCTGCTGAGGAAAACCACGGACGATGGAAAGGGAGAGGAATATGGGCACATAAAACCCTTTGGGAAACAATTATACAGACCATTCCAAGGCTTAGATGATAAGAGGATATAATGAAATGCCATATAATTAAATGGATCTTAAATTTCAAAAGCAATCATTACTAGAGTTTTGGGAGTTCTTTGCACTGATAAGTTGTTATACTAAGCTATGAAAGATTTGTTTGAGAGTCAATACAACAGGTGGTTAAACAGACTCTTATTCAGAAAGTCTTCCTAAATAGGTGACCTTGATTATGATAATGTAATTGCTTACAAGAGTACTGGCAAGCAGTAAGAACTAAATAATGTGCTAGTCTTACTTCTTTACTTGAAAATTGAAGTGTCCATAGAAGAAGCTTCTTTTCACTCTACCTATTGTAGGTGAACCAGGAGTTAGCACAGCCATGTCCAAATAAAAGATCTGCCATCCACTGTTCATCTGAGTCATGTGACTACTCTGAGCACCTGCTGGCAACAGGCCCTGCTAGGTATCAGATATTATCCTGAGAGCTTTCTGTTCTTCAGATACATCACCAACATCCCAAACTCATTTCCTTAGCTGCACAAAACGGACATATCTACCAATATGGTTATGCTGACAATTTGAAGCCCAATAGAGCCAACGTTGCCAAACCATGATAGCGCCACCTCCTTGAAACTGTCTGGTATAAGCTGTTGAGTGCATGTTGAGGAAGTTGGGCCTAGTCCTGGGTATGCTGAAACCCTCTTGGATGCACATTCAATGCTCACACTGGTGGCATGCGTCACCATAAAAACAATAAGAGCTTAATGAAGTAGTAATATGTTTTGCTATAAAAATGTCTCTCTTCTCCTTGAACCCCAACTCTATGGAAGTTAAATTATTCAATAGATAAGATATCAAACAGAAATATTTTCCTTTAGAGATTGCATTTGTGACAAAAATGTGAAGCCATGTGTCTGTGGACATGAGTTATTGCTATCATTACTTAAGCTGGTAAGTAGTACGTTCATAAATTACTAAATGCTGTGTGAACGATTTTTCATTTATGACTCACTCAATCCCATAGGGTAGTGCAGTAGTCTTATCTTCATGAATAAGAACCTAAGTTACTGTAATGTCCCTGTTCTTACTACACTGCACTGCAAATGAACACACCATCAGAAAAGACTGTAATGATTCTATTCCATCTTCATCAGGTCTCATGACCACTCAAATAAACAGAACTGGTAGATCAAGATTTCAAGATGTCTTAAGAATAAGATAGAAAAACAAACACATTATTATTTACAATTCAGTTAATTTCACATCTTTTTTTTTTTTGGTCCAGTCATGGGGTCTGAACTCTGGGCCTGGGTGCTGTCCCTCAGCTCTTCAGCTCAAGGCTAGCGCTCTACCACTTGAGCCATAGCGCCACTTCCGGCTTTTTTCATTTTGCTTATGTGGTGCTGAGGAATCGAACCCAGGGCCTCAGGCATGCAAGGCAAGCACTCTACCACTGAGCTACCTTCCCAGCCCCTAATTTCACATCTTAAAACAAACTTTAGTTTGTTTTGTTTTCTGGTTTTAGAAATACAACACTGATCACTGAAAAAATACAGAAAAGTGAAATGAAATAAAAATAAATGCATCAATAATTCATCATTCTGGAGAACCATTATTGACATAATCTCCCTTCTATGTAAATGTGATCTATGAAGTTTAGATTTATTTTGGAGGCATGTGTGTGTATGCAGGGATTGATGGAGGGTGTCCCACAGGCTAAGGATGTATTCTCCAGTAGAGCTGTTCTCTAGCCCCTAGGATCCATCATTCTTAAACACAATGTTAAGGAAAATGGCTAAACGGAAGTCTTTTTAGCTGACAGATATAAACTTATAGGAAACTTTGTCAGTAGAAAAGGCAATTATTGTATCATAGCTATGGATTTTCATTATCTTCCCCAAGTTTTCAACCTTAGTAAAACAATCAAGGTATAACTTATCTCAGTGGTATTAGCTAAAAAGGAGACTCACTGCATAAGAAACATGTGTGAATGCTTCCTGATTATCTGGGTATCTGGGTACATACCGTCCACATCAGTAAACTATATTTGTGATGTTAAGTAAGATTTATAGCTTTTGGAAGGCCTAAGAATATTGTAACAGTTAAGGAAAAACTTTTTCCTAGTCATTGAATTTTGCCAAAGTTACACTTACAAGTAAATGAAGCTGCCAAGTTTTCCTTTGTAAATAGGTTAAATATTTGCATAAGACAGAATATGCAAGATAAGCAAAACTTATTAGTGGTCATATCAATCCCGAGTGAAAATTAAAAATTATCTCATTGTGAAATTCTCTCACTGACAGGAAAAACTAGGGACAAAAACAGCACAGCAGCTTAGGGCAAAGATTTCAGGCATGTTAGAATGTGCACAATGTCACCTCATTGACTTTTAATTAAGGTGACTTACACTGAAACCTTACTCCTTTTAAAGTGTCAAAGAATGTAATTTATGCAATAAGAAAAGTAAAAGTAAATAAAAAGTCCTTACAGAAAACAGAAGGCAGACATGGATCAAGAAGTTTTAAAATAAACTTTCTAGTGCTTCCTCTTATGTAAGAAGTTTATGTTAGTCATAAATTCTAGGAACCTATTTATATTGTTTCAGTGTGATTTATTCAAAATCACAGTAATCTATTACACACAATATTTTTAAATGTAAAAAGCAATGCCCACTGGCAACGGGTAAGAATATCGAATAAAACTAAATTTGAAAAATGAAGAGAAGTACTTCCCTATGAATAATATAAAACTCTACCTAGGCAAAGAAAAATATCAATAAATTCTAAAAGATTCACTTAGATTTTTAGTGCATATGAAAATATACAATAACATACTTTGTGTTTTTGTACTACGCTGAATATAAATTATCAGTTATTTCCACATTGGTAAGTGAAAATTACATATGCTTCTTTTAGAGAAAGAAACTGTATGTCCTTAAACAGGAAATGCTTGAGCCAAAATATTCTCATCCTGTCCAACTGGAAAGTGAAGTACAAAAGTCACATGAGATTAAAGAGTAACTAAGGCTGATGCTCCATAAAAGAGAACGTTGATGTTACACATCCTTTGATTAGAGAACATTATTTTTTGGTATGTGGAAGGAAATGACTTGTGAGGTCATTATGTGTACTTTTTTTTTTTTTTGGGTCCAGTCGTGGGGCCTGAACTCTGGGCCTGGGCACTGTCCCTCAGCTCTTCAGCTCAAGGCTAGCGCTCTACCACTTGAGCCACAGCACCACTTCCGGCTTTTTTCTTTTTGCTTATGTGGTGCTGAGGAATCGAACCCAGGGCCTCATGCATGCAAGGCAAGTGCTCTACCACTGAGCCACCTTCCCAGCCTCCATTATGTGTATTTTTAAAGAATTCTTTTTCATTTTACATTTATACATTAAAAATATATCTTTAGCAGCTACTAAATGAATCAAAGTCATTAACAATACACTCTTCAGAAAGTTAACTAACCTTAAAGTAAAAACTTAGCTAACCTAACAAGCAAATTCAGAGATTTACCTAAACTCATAAGCAAATACTATGTTTCAAAATTGTATTTCAAATACAATGGGCAGGCAATGGTGCTCAAAACATTACACTTCAAGCTCAGCACTGTTTTTGAAAGAGTTGAAGCCTATTATGCCATATTTTCTATAAATATTTATTGAATAAACAAACATGGTTCACCTGATGTTTTTAATTCTTTTAAACTAATCAAATCACAAATTGTTGTATCAGTTTAAGGAAAACAAAAATAGGCTTTTAAATAGCTACCAAGATAAATTATGCTACTGCTACTTCAAATAATAATAACACCCTTCCAATATTGTCAGTGGATGTTTCCTCTGCCGTTAAAAAAAAGTCAGCTGTTAATAAAAAGTCAGCCTTACTTTTTTAAAGAGCATATTATGTATATGTTATACCTGTTAACTGCATGAGAAACATTGAAAACTGTAATCTAAAAGTTTAAATGTGATTTTTGGAAGCAGCACAATAAATAACTGCAATTTAAAATTTGAATATGGGAACCACAGAAACCAAAACCCAACAAATCTGCATTTAATTCTTAGAAGTAAAACGTAAATTTCCCCAACAACATAAATATACGTTTATATCAAATTCAGTTCTTTATCACAGACAGTATCCCAAGTCCCTTCTTGCTGAAACCAATAACATTTCTGGGACTCATTTATTATCTAGTAAGAATGTGTTCACTCAGAACAAACAAACAAACTAGAAAATCTAGTTAAAGAAGTGCTATTAGAAAGTATATGTCAAATTTTTTTTATAAAGTTATAAGGCATTAACAATTAACATATAATAATTATTACATGTTAAAGTGATATTTAAGCAAATAATTTATAATAAAAATAGATCAAAACTCTCTTTTAAAAAATATCTCAAGTGAGAAAATCACAGGAGAGGATAAAAATCACATGTAACCACCTACATACTCTAAGCTTCTACTAACTAAAAACACTTTTCTTTTCTTGGCTTAAAATAGACCTTATGCACTGAACGGCAGGTGTCATTATACCAACATGGACACAGTCTAAGTCTGTTTAAAGTTATTGTAAAATTTGTATATGCAAGTATTCTGATGGCTACTAATAAAGGTAGAAAAGTTAGTTCTAGCATGTATTATACCAGGTATAATAATACTTGGTATTATCAGTGCTTACTACAAATTGTCTTCTGATAATATTCTCTTACTACAGTGTGGCCTTCAGTCTTATATCAAATAGTGGCAAAGATTACACTACCATGGTTTAAATAATGGTCAGCAGCTTAGGCTAGTACAGAGCTAGAAAGAAGAATTGGTTTATAATAAATCAGTAAATAAGGAACATAGCTTTATTTTAGTATTAGTTGCTGAAACTGAGCAATGAAATAATGCAGAAATAAAGTTTTGTTCCAGAGTGACAGGTGATGGTAAGGATTGTGGAGGGGACAGTGGTGAGGGATTGTTAGCTGGCTTACTAAAATACATACCTGAGCTCCACTGGAGCTGTGCAACCTGGTTGTGTATCAGTTATTTGTAAGGGCTGACTAAACAAAATCCCTTTCATCATGCATGCACTGCTGTCTTCACTACAGTAATAGAGAAACACGCTGATAGATATCACGGCTTCAAGTGACAGGCAATCACCAGGAATTGGCAGCAGAATTGTTGGTTGATTAGAAATATTCTCTATGTCTCCAGATGGTATCTGTCCTTGAAGAAGCCACTCGTTGCCTAGAAAATAGAAAATAATTTACCAAGACTGTGGAAGAAATCAGCTGGGAAACTGGAAAAAATCTTAGGAAGACAAGATCCATTCAATCAACTAACATTTACAAAATCTTGTAAGCACCTAGGCTCTGTGCTCTGTAGGATAGACATGGTATTAAGATATAATGATGACTCCAAAGAAATTTCCAGATTAGTGATCTAATTTTTACAAAAATTTATTTAAATACTATAAGCCATAAACATATTTCTACTGAAAACTGAATATTGCAAATAAAGCTCAAGATCCATAATATCCAAAGTTAAACATGAACTCCATTAAGTTATATAAATAAACCTAGGACATATGAGATCACAGAGAATTTCTACCAAACAGATAAAATTTTTCAGGCATATGATACATTTTTGGCTTAAAACATTCACATATTTTAATCACTTTAAGTGTCTATCTCTTAAATGACCAGCCAAAACTCAGAAAATATCCTTTAATTGTAGGCACAGATATGTAGTCTATAAATTTTTTTTCCAAACTGTTAAATTATTGGGATACTTCTCTGAAAGCTTATTTACCCCTATGTAATATAAAACAGAGCCACTGTCTGGGACATGTCATAGAATAGGTAAGCTCTTGAGCATTTCACTTGAACACTATTTGTATTTTGTATCCCCAGGATTCCATATTAGCTAGTGTATTTAATAAAGCAAGTCTTAAACATTAGTTTCTCAATAGCCTATTTTAAAAAAAGAAATGCATTGGGCTGGGAAGGTGGCTCAGTGGTAAAGTGCTTGCCTTGCATGCATGAGGCCCTGGGTTCGATTCCTCAGCACCACATAGCAGAAAAAGCTGGAAGTGGCACTGTGGCTCAAGTGGTAGAGCACTAGCCTTGAGCTGAAGAGCTGAGGGACAGTGCCCAGGCCCAGAGTTCAGGCCCCACAATTGGCAAAAAAAAAAAAAAAAAAAGAAATGCATTGATCTTTACCCCATGAACCACCTTCAGCTTTAGAGAGACATAACTGCTAAAGTGGCATCTAGGACTTGCTCTGTGTTCACAGATGGCTGAGAAGTAGCCCAGGTCTGTCTACAAAACAATCTCCATATATCTGAGTTTGGGTCAGCCCTCTCTGTCTGTGGGAATCTGAGGGGACAGTTTCCCACAGACTCAGTCAGTCATCCCACAGCCAGCCTCCCAAACTCCAACCAGCAGTCTACCTGCCAGTCTACCTAAGACCTCTTCTTTGTCATTTCATTTCGGGCACTGCAGTAGACAGTGCCTTCTGCCCTGAGAACATCTGAACGTAAGAAGGCCTGGGGGCCAAGATCTGGGTAATGTATGAAAAAGTATGTGAGAGAATATGAGGGAGAAGGAGCTGGGGAGGAAGTGGAAGACTGAGTGAGAATGTGTGAAAGAGCGTGGGAGAGTAAGGACAGAGCAAGAACATTGGAGAAAAGAAGTCATATGTTATAAACTCCTGGACTGGGGCTACCTCTTCTTTAAAACTGCTACTCACTGTTACACAGATATCCAAAAACACTATGATCAACTAATGAAATAAGAAGCTAGTTCACATTGAGTCACACATACGAAAGGGAGGACTGGAAAAGGTGTTAGAAGGAAGAGTTATAGGAAGAATAACAATGGAGAAGGTTCCACTTTAAATTTCCCTATTTCAGACCCTAAGAGTTTTCTTGGGAACAAAGGAAAGATTAGAATAAGGGAAGAGAGGGAAGAGAACTTCTCTTCAATTTAGTATTAGAATGCCTAGCTACAGCAATAAGACAAGATACAAACATAAAAGGAACCCAAATAGGGAAACATGAAGAAACTCTCCTTCTTTGCAGATGACAGGATCTTGTATTTAAAGAATCCCACAGACTCCACTCCCAAATTACTCAAGCTGATTCAAAACTTTGGCAAAGTAGCAGGGTATAAAATTAACCCTCAAAAATCAATGGCTTTTTGTATGCCAACAATGAGAAAAGTGTGGCTGAAATCAGGAAAGCAACTCCATTTGCAATAGCTCCACAAAAAATAAAATACCTAGGAATTAACTTAACCAAAGAAGTGAAGGACCTCTATGATGAAAACTTTAAAAACCTGAAAAAGGAAATCAAAACAGAATTTAGAAAGTAGAAAAACCTCCCATGCTCCTGGATTGGAAAGATCAACATCGAGAAAATGGCAATAGTTCCCAAGGCTATCTATAAATTCAATGCAATACCTATTAATATTCCAACCTCATTCTTCAAGGAAACAGAAGAGGCAATCCAAAAATTCATATGGAACAATAAATACCCCAAATAGCAAAAATGATCCTTAACAGAAAGAATAGTGCTGGAGGAATATCAATACCAAATTTCAAACTCTACTACAAAGCCATAGTAATCAAAACAGCTTGGTACCGGCACAAGAACAGACCTCAGGACCAATGAAATAGAATAAAAAATCCTGAAATGAACCCACAGACCTATAGCCATCTAATTTTCCATAAGGGAGCTAAAAAAAATAGAATGGAAGAAAGACAGCCTCTTCAGTAAATGGTGCTGGCAAAATTGGTTAATCAACTTGTAGAAAACTAAAGCTGGATCCTTATATATCACCCTGTACCAGAATCAACTCCAAATGGATCAAAGACCTCGGAGTCAAAGCAGACACTCTGAAAACATTACAGGACAGAATAGGAGAAACCCTAGGTCTCCTTGGCACAGGCTTAAATTTTCTTAATAGAGACCCAGAAACACAACAAATCAAAGAAAGGTTGGACAAATGGAACTGCATGAAGCTGAAGAGCTTCTGCATGCTAGCAAGATCAATAGAAAGCCCACAGATTGGGAGAAGATCTTCACTAGCCATATAACATACAAGGGTCTCATATCTAAAATATACCTGGAACTTAAAAAATTAAATCCCCCAACAACAAATCCTCAAAGAAACAACTGCCCAATAAATAAGTGAGTTAAAGACTTAAAGAGAAACTTCTCTGAAGAGGAAAGAAGGATGGCCAATAGACACATGAAGAAATGGTCAAGCTCCCTAGCCATAAAAGAAATGCAAATCAAAACAACATTGAGATACCACCTCACCCCAGTTAGAATGGCTTTAATCAAGAACTCTAACAACAACAGATGCTGGAGGGGATATGAACAGAAGGGAACCTTACTGCATTGTTGGTGGAAGTGTAAACTTGTTCAACCACTTTGGAAAGTAGTATGGAGGTTCCTCAAAAGACTCCACATAGAGCTCCCCTATGACCCAGCAATCCCACTTTTGGGCATTTACCTGAATGATCACAAACAAGACCATACTAAAGCTACCAGCACAACTATGTTTATTGCAGCATTATTTACCATAGCTAAGATATGGAACCAACCCAGATGCTCCTCAGTAGATGAATGGATCAAGAAAATGTGGTATATATACACAATGGAATTCTATGCCTCCCTCAGAAAGAATGACATTGCCCCATTTGTTAGGAGAAATGGAAAGATTTGGAAAAATTATATTAAGTGAAGTAAGCCAGGCCCAAAGAAACAGAGGTCCCATGGTTTCCCTTATTTGTAATTACTAGTATATGTCTGAGACAAGCAGAAAAGGTCAGATAAGTTGATGTTAGGTGAAATGAACCCCAAGATAAGTTTTCAAATGTTTTTTCTTTCTTGCTATTGTTTCTAACATATTTATAAGATATTTCTTTGTTGCTTTGTATGTCCCTCCCCCATGGTATAACCCCTGTTTTCACTGTATTTGATATTGGTATAATTTGTGGAGGGGAAGGGAAAAAACAAATTGTTTAAATAGGGATACAGGCGGATCCATTACAACAATGAGATGTATAAGATGTTATGTTGAAAAACAAACTTTACAACCTTGGCACGGGGAAGAGGGGCGGGGGGCAGAGGAATGGGGGTGGGGAGATGGGAAGGGATGGTAAGGGGAAACAAAGGAGGAGGCAACCATGCTTGATAATAAATGTGCTCATTACCTTGCTCGTGTAATTGTAATCCCTCTGTATGGTATTTTCACAATAAAAAAAAATGAAGGAAAAAAAAAGAATAAGGGAAGAGATCCAGCCACGTCCATACTATAAGAAACGATGCTGCTAACAACTGAAATGTAATTTTCAGTGAGTTACACTATTCTTTAATAAAATGGAGGAAAGAATCTCAAGGAAAACTGCCAAAAGAGGGTTAGACCCAGATTCATTTTTTCCCACATAATTTCTCTCAAATCTTGCCAAGTGACAGAGTAAAAATAGCACATAACAAATGAGAAAGAAAATCACATTGGACATCAAGAAATTAATTAATATTTGTTTCTTCACTAGATCCTCATACCTTCAGCTGTTAGAAACCAGCAGCTGGGAACTCCTTCAGTCAGCTTTGTTCCTGATGGGAGATCCAGGCTGAGCTTGAATTCAAGAGTCTGGCCAGGACATGCAGCTACTGGGGAAAGCCGGATGCTCGGGGCAGACTTTGGCAGTTTGGGTACTGTCTTCGGCTTTTCTTCTGGGAATGGGCCATCTACCACAGCATTGTCAGGTCTGAAGATGGGAAGCTAGGAAATCAGAAAATGTGTTGTACTTCACAGAAATTGAAAGGATAAAAATTAAAGTTCTCTATCAATAACACACTAATTGCCATTCTAATTTAAACTACCTAATGACCTCCAAACTATTCTATGAGTACAGAAAAAAGTTTACCTCAGCAAAAAGATCACTACCACTTACAAAAGGGATGGAGCTAATTATCCAATACATACAGATGTTAGAAAATCAAAGCAAAGTGTTATGAATTGAAAGGCAGTAGACAAAAATAATAACATATCCTCATAATTATCAAGCATAAGAAGATGTTCATGTTACATCAAATCTACATAAGGAGAAGTGACACTCATGATCATAACTTATATTTTTATTGTAAAACATATTTTGCAAACAAGTAGAATTTTAGAAATGTTTTTCTTTTTTTTTTTAGGTAAATGTGACACATCAGGAGGTAGCTTATAAGAATGATTTTCTTTGAAAAGTCTACTAAAGACTGTGTTGATATTTTAAAAAATTGATGGTTTAAATTTCTCCCAATCTTATTTTCCATGTCATGGGAAAAATGGCTTATAAAGGTTCCTCTGAAGATTACTTGGTAATGGAAACAAAGATGATACAACCTACTAAGTATCACTGAATAAAACAGCCCAACCCACAGAGTGCACATATGTAGTATGTGTCAGTGTATCTATAAGTTCAAAAACAGATCTGAGCCCTCTTTTTTTCTTGAAGGTTCATGAAATTCCTCTCCAACTTTCACTGTGTTTCTCAGCACAGATGGAATTCTTATTTTAAGAGTAACGGGAGATCCTCAAAGCAGGCCTTCTGGTCTCATGATCAAAGAACACGATGGAGGAACCCACTTACTACTCTTTCTATGTGTGTCAATTTCACTGAGGAGAAAATTGCTTGTAATTCCTTGAGGACTTTAGACTCCTTCTTAAAACCACACCCTTTAGCTTATGTTCAAAGAAACCTTACCATGGAAATTGTCTTTGTTTCTAAATCCATTATTTTAATTTGATGATTATTGGTGTCTGCCACATATAACAGCCGACCATTTTCTCCAATACACAAGCCTCCTGGTTCATTAAAAGTTGACTCAGTAAAACTAGAACTGATGACAGTGTTCATGTCTCCAGTCCCTGCTAATGTTGTACAGTTTTTTGTTTTGGGGTCCACAACTTTAATCTAAAGAAGAATAAAAAAAATTATAACGGAAGGTCAATCTCGTATTTGTAGGATGGAAGCTATAATATAGAGAAAACTAGACAGAATTCTCCACTGCCATTATCATTCTCAAGAAACCTCAAAAAATAAAAAAGCCAAACGTTCAAATTACACAGCCTAAAGGGAAATATTTCATGAGAGCAAAAACTTCGTAAAATCTTTAGTTATTGCGTGTTTTCTTGGAGCCTTCTTGGATGAAATTATTTCAGGAAATAAAAAAATAATTTTACTGTTTTTCTTCACAATGGCATATGTATTCACAATGACCTTTTCATGAACACCTAGATTGTCAGAGGATTTGTACCTTTGTTAAAATTCATGATATGCAGTTTTATTTCAATCATCATAAATTTGTGGTTGCTCATACACTGATTTTTATGGAAAACAAAATACAGTAAGAATTCGAACAAATATATAGATTAAAAAAATTATTTTCTACCATGCACTGCAAATATGGTACAGCTCAAGATGCTCATCCGTTAGGGGTTACTGATGGGTTATAATGCCTTACCTCCTGGAACTAGTTCAGATACTATTGTAACATCTTGGCAAAGAAAGGGCCCAGAGCAAAGAACAAGCAGCACAGTTGCTGAGGGCCGTTATTTCTCTCTGTATTTTAGAGTGGCACTTGTAGGAGGTATACAGATATTTCCACATTTTAAGTACCATGGACAAAAAGTACGGTATTAAAAATTCTGTCAAGACTCACCTTGTGATTATAGGAGTCTGCCACATAAAGCAAATTCTTCTTCTTGTCCCACGCTACTCCAAGTGGGTGTTGAAGCTTTGCATTGATGCCTATTCCATCAACATCACCAAAAGCAAATAAGTTCTTTTATTTTTTAAAGAGAAAGAAATAGTAGTGATTAATTTTTTTCTGTGCTTTGTTATGATATAAAGTGCAAATTAAGATAGTTGTAAGTATTATTAAAGTCCAAGTGGAAAAGTTCTAATTTTTATATAGGGATGGCTACTTCATGCAGACTAAAAAGGCGTGACAGAATTTTAAGCCTGAGCTAGTTTGGGGGGCTTGTTTTACTCACTACAGTACTGTATCTGGTCAGGATGCTAGCTTGGTAGTCTTTCCAAACCACCACTAAATACCAAATGTATTTTCCTTCTCTCTGCCAATAAACATTTGATCCTTTCTTTCTTTCCTGAGCCCTTAACAACTAAATATAATCAAGTGGAGTTAGTCTACTTTACAATGGTTTTATGCTTCTCTATATTCATATCTCCTTTGATCTGACTTCCATTTTACTCATGGATATCCCAAGACTGATCTCTCCTACATTTCATTAAATTTCCACAATTAAGGAAAGTGCTAGTTTGGTCAGTGTCAGGCACCCCGCACAAAAGTGACTTGCCTTACCATGGGATCTCTCTCTCCTCCTACGAGGTGCTTCACAGCTCCATCTTTCAGAGAGACAGTTCTCACTGTACTGCTCTCGCTGTCTGCCACAAAGAGGCAGCTCCAGGGGTCTTCAGAAGCCAGAGAAAGACCTGAAGGCTGGGCAAAACCTGCCTTGTGAGGATAGGCATTGTTTCGATTCTCTTCATTTCCACTCCCAGCAAACCGCAGACAGGCTCCTTTTTTTAATTCACTGGAAGGTGAGGTATATTGTGTCCAATTTAGTTATAAGCAAATGAATGTAAGGAATCAAGCCAATGGCAATAGCATTGTAAAGGAAGAGGGAAAAAAAAGCACAAAACTAGTGATGTTAGCCCAGTTAAACTGCCAGTCAGCATTCATGACATTTTTCCAGTAACTATCTTGTTTAGATACTGTGTGTGGGGACCTTCCTACTTTTCCTCAACATATACACAATTGAAACTGCTCTCAGGAGCTGGACAGAAAACCCAGACACGATTGGAATGATAACAATCATGATCAGATCACTGATAAAGACAGTTTTAGTCCTCCTTTAACTTCTTAGCTATACTTAATATTGGTTCTAAAAAGAAACTAAAAAGATTATCTAGATCTTGATAAAGTAAGGCTGAGTTAAGGCTTAAGTTTTCATTCAAAATGTCTTGTGTTTTGTAAATAGAGACTAACAAATGAAATAAAAAATAGTTTTCATAAGACAGCCAGGTTAGGCATTACCATGTTAAGAAAACTACAAGGGATGACTATGCTGAACCGACTAGTCAACTGTGCAAAAATCAATGTCTTATATAAACAAGGGAATGCCTGTTTTAAGGACTGACTACTTCATGTCGAAAATGAACTATACAACTGGTAGGTGGGGACAGAAGGGAAAAAACTGGAGAGATCGAGGGAAGGGGTGACATTGTGCAAAAAGAAGTGGACTCTTTACCCAACTTACATAACTGTAACCCCTCTGAACATCACCTTTATAATAACAAAATAATAACCAGAGATAATGCCAGTCTGCACATCAAAGAACAGTGAAATTATTTATAGTTTTAGAATTCTTAAAGTGAGCTGCTAAATAAACATTGAGGATTACAGCATCTTCCCCCACCTCCCCACAAAAAAAAAGAAAAAAAAAAGAAAAAAAAAAGGACCACTCCAAATCTGGGGATAGTGATGCACAGCTACAATCCTAGCACTTGGAGGCTGAGGCTGGAACATATTCAGTTCACGACCTGTCTTGACTACATAATGAGTTCCAGGACAGCCTGGGCAGGCTACTCAGATTGACTCAAAAAGACAAGAAATTCAAGTGAAGACGAGGTCTATGGTTAATGCAATGATTCCTCTTGTCATGCAGGAAATGTTTTACCTTGGTTTCTACATTTATGCTAGGGATAATAAAGAATACATGATAGGTAGTGCTGGAGAAAAGGAAGAAGGTGACTTTGAATGAAAAATGAGGGACTATACATATTCCATTGCATGGTACAACATGTAAAAATCTACAATGACCACCACTATGGATTGGTATGTTCCCAAAGCTAAATCAAGCAAGAAGCAGGGGATGGAAGCTAAGGGATTCAGAATGTGCAAGACACAGCTAATTACTCAAGGAACTTGTAACAAAGAGCTAGCCAGAGAAAACATGTCATAGCTAATATAAAATAACTTGAGAGATAATTGGTATAAGAAGCCTTAACACGTTTAAAAAGGAGTTCCTTTCATTAAATAGAGTGGGGGAGAAACAGTGACTTGTAAAACATTAGGGGGTCATTATCACCTGAAGATCAGTACTAAATAAAGATAATTCATCCTTAAAATTAAGAAGCAGGTCAATGTGATCTGAGTGACCATTTTCCTATTATGAACAAGAATGACAACTCTACTTATTAGGAAATTTAGGCAGCCCTTGACCATATATGTCCAAAACAGTCAGCCACAGAACAGCATATTCTGGCAAGCTCTGCTGCTTCTGTTTGCTGTTTATGATCACACCTCACACATGGTTATTGGTAACCACATAGTTGCCAACTATCATCTCTTGGCTAGATGACAGCTACAGCCACCTGAGTGCTAGCTCAGTCTCCAGTCTTGTTTCAGTCTTAATGCTGTCAAGATTCTTTCAAAAAGACAGATCTAATCATGTCACTTCCTACTTTAACATATTCTATAAAGTTTGTGGGTGTCTAAGTCTCTTAAAAGAACTCACAAGACTTTATATGGACTAATGTCCACAGACATCACTAGTGTGAGCTCTTTCCTGGAAAACTCCTGCTTTTCTCTTCACCAGGTCTCAGCTTGGTATGCCTCTTCCAGAAAGCCCCCTCAGGTACCTGAAATCTTACTGATAAAAACTTCAACTTAAAGGACTATTGCAATAACTCTCTTTACATGTAGTACTTGTTGTATACAGATCTAATTCTTCCTCTGTAAGCCCATTGTGAAAACCAACCATGTTTTTATCTTAGTAAATCTATCATTTCATTCCTAATGCCTAGCACAGTGTCTAGTACATAGTATATTTAATATTTTTAGGCGCATGATTGAATGATATAGAACATTTATAGAAATGTGTTCCAAAGCAACATACACACACACACACACACACACACACACACACACACACACACAAACACACACACTATTTGGAATACCTAGAACCTTTCTGTTGGTAAAGATAACTAAGATAAGTAGCACTTACTTTCTATGCTGATCTGACCTGTGCTGATCTGGCTGATAGTTTTCATTCATTCAATTATTCTGGAAGCCTTTATTGAGTTTCAATTATGTATCAGACATTGTACTAAGTATAGAGGCTACAAAAATAAATGCAGCAAAATGGAGGCTGGACAAATATAGTGCAATGATGTAACTTCATATGAGGTACTACTATGAAGCCTCAGAGAAGCGTATGGTTAACTCTGGCTGGAGAGAGAAGGAGCAAAGGCTCTTTGGAGAACACAGGAAACAATGTAGATACTACCTTTTCACTTTCTACTATGTGTGCAAAGCCCTGTGTTGAGCTCCTCACACAGAGTATAAGCCAGTGAGGTAATGTGAAAAACAATGCTGAGCTTCCAAAGCCCTGTGTTCACAGAAGTAAGTGGTAGAACTGGGATTTAATCTCAAAACCTGAGTAGTATGCACTTTACTATGTGGTACTCAACTATTGGAAGGAACAACTGCAGATACTTCAACTATACATAAAGAATAGGGCCCACTAAGTATTTCCAGAAAGAAATTTCTGGGTGCTCAGGAGGACAGAGCTTTTACTGTGGCTGATAAAAAAGGAGTAGAAGCAACATGTATCGCTTTGAGCAGAAGCTTCAGGAGCTAGTGAGTGACTCACCACCTCCTCTTCCCTCACTGCCAGGATAGCTGGCCTGGCAGAGCTCCCAACAGTGGGTGGCAGAGCACTGCTCCCCACTGAAGGTATGTAGTGAGCAATGAAAAGGCTTTGTTCTAACCCACTGAGCATCCAGGCTGTTTGTTACGGAGGCACAATCTAGCACATCCTGATGAAGACTGTGGGTGTTGTGAGGGTGAATCTGGAAAGGAGCTCTGTGGACTCCATGGGGGCAGAGATGGCGTCACTTACTTTTTCTTGGGCAGTTTGCCAGAGGCCAGGAGGAGTGCCCATATCTGATGGGTGCCTGCCATGGCTATCCACAGAACGTCATCACTCTGGTCCTTTGAACCTGTATAAAAGTAAGTAGTAATTATCAAACCTGAATTCATGGACAGGACCCATAAGTTTATAAATAGTATGACAGAAAAAAATAAAATGGGCTTTCTGTTCTTTTAGTGAGAGGATTTTTTTTCTTTAGATTTGAATTTTACCCGCTACAATATTATAACCAGTTTTCCTCTTTTTAAAAATGGTACGCAAAATTCAAAAAATGTATTCAAAAATATGTATATAGTATGTATTGACCAAGTCAGGGAGACTCGTATATCTCCTTAAACAAAAGCCAAAGGTTTTGTGTTGGCTGTTGTTTCTTTTTCTTTTTTTCGATGCTGGGAATGAAACTCGGGGCCTAGTACAAGCTAAACAAGTACTATAGCACTGAGCTACATCTCTAGCTCCATGCTTTCTCAATCTCTGCATCACTGGATACAATGTTTATGACTATTTGATATCTTATGTGACAAAAGAAATAAGTTGACACTCTCTAAATAAACTGCCAATTTCCACCAAAAAGTGAAATCTTCTAAGAGTTCATGGCAAGTATATTGCCATCTCAGTATTATTTAAAAATCCATTGGCTATTTGTGAAGCCTTAAAAAAGATATTAGCTGGCATATAAAACAATCAAGGATAGAATACCATATAACTGTTTATTAAAATAAATAATCTTCAGCTGGGTGCTGATGGCTCATGCCTATAATCCTAGCTACTCAGGAGAATGAGATCTGAGGATAACAGTGCAAAGCCAGCCTGGACAGGAAAGTCTATGAGACTCTTATCTCCAAAAAACCATCAGAAAACCGAAAGTGGCACAGTGGCTCAAGTGGTAGCCTTTAGCTGAAGAGCTCAGGAACAGCGCCCAGGCCTAGAGTACAAACCCACAACTGACAAAAAAATAAGTAAATAACAACAAATAATTTTCTATTTTTTTAGACTGAAGGATGTTACAGCTTATTACAATGCAACAAAGCTGCATTTCTTAAACTGATTGTACTGTTAAAATATTTCACTATTTTAATTTAGAATATCTGCTTAAGTAAATGAGATAATTTAACTTATAATAAAGGAAATATGTTTTATGGGGCTAGTTTATTTTCATCTCTTTTAATTTCAAGTAGTTGTGTCCAGAAAGAATTGTTGTTGTTTTTTCCCTCTGTAATTGGTATTACTCTTAAGTGTCCCTTAATTTAACAACAGCAAAAACCTACAATGATGTTGGTTCTCAAGTAACTTTGGCTGCTATGTGCCAAGCACTTAGACATTTGTGGCAATTTTTTCCAAAGCCCATGAGCTGGTTACTATTAGGAGGTCTAAATTACAGATGAATAAACAGAGCCTTGTAGAGGTTAGTAACGTGCCAAATTCACAGAGTTAGCATATGAAGGAATTAAACTGAGCCAGGCAGGCCAACAGAAAGTCTATTCCCTTAACCATTCCATGTGGTTCTTCTTTATCTGTGTTCAGAATTGCAATCTAGTAACATCTAAAGAGAAGCAATTCTCCTCATTTTCTTTTTCATACTCAGATCTGGTTGTACTAAAAGTGACACTGGTGGCCATCTATTCTGGGAACTCAGTCTCTGCTTAAAGACCTTAAAAACTAGATCAAAAGCTTTCCACAATTAATTTTTAACATACCACACTGCTCCTTTAGCTATTCTAGGGCTATATGTTGCTACTATTAGAATGACTAGAACATCTAAGTTAATATTCCATTATTTTAGATATAATGACATTCAAATGAAAAGTTCAACGTATGTGAAGCACTGAGAATAACACTGAAACAGCCACTCTCAAATGTCAGCCATCATCATTATTTTATGAATGTGGATCTGAATTTTGTAGTATGTTGTATTAGGAGAGTAAAATATATACACTGAATCGCACTTGATAAATGGCACTGAGGATAAAAAGTATCATTTTTTTCACATAAATGTATTAATCTTATAGTAGGCATTAACAATGAATGTATTACCAACAGATGATTGCTAATAAAGCACTCAGTTTACAGCTGCTTATTTGTGTTAAATCCACCATAAAGCCAAAGATTATAAATATTTAGCATTTCACAATGAAAATGAGTTTATGTTCCTGTTTAGACAATGGTATTATTAGCTAGGGGAATGGCCAACCAAACAAGACAAAACACAACACTTCACTAAGTAAACAAAAGGCATAAAACTAATCATGCTTACTAATTTTAACACAATTTGGAATGTTTTCTACTTATAACATTCTAAAGCCTGAGTTTACTCAGAAACATTTTTAGAGTATTACACAAAGTATTGTAAATGACTACAGTTCAAGTCCACTACTCAGTTCTTCCACTTTTTTATGAAATTATTCTATGGTCGTACAACAGACAACTAAATGAAGAGGGCTCCTGGAAGTGCCTTTCTCCAATTCCTTGGCTGTGGTAGCAGGTAGTTCTGGATTTGAATCATGACTACATCATTTCCTAATTTGTGACTCAGTTTCCCCAACTGTCAAGAAGATTGTGGCCCATTTCAAAAATTATTGGGAAGAATGTATAAGGCAAGTTAAGTAAAGCACCTAATATGCCATTGGCATGTGTTAGGTGCTAAGTGATACTTGCTGTCTTTTAACCTGAAAATCTTCCTAGGACATTCATCCTCTAGACCATAGTGTCATTTGGGATCTCTGATCAGCCCTCTTTCCTGCTCTTTTATCTAGCGTGCGCGCTCGCGCACACACACGCACACACACACACACACACACACACACACACACACACACACACACACCATCTTTTTTTCTTAAAAAATTAATTGTCATGATAAAGGTGATGTACAGAGGGGTTACAGTTATGTAAGTCAGGTAATGAGTACATTTCTTTTTTGACAATGTCACGCCTTCCCTCACACTCTCCCAGTTTTTCCCTTCCATCCCCATTCACAAGTTGTATAGTTCACTTTTCAACATAGAGCCCAATGAATACCACTGATATATTTGTTCACCCTTTGTCCCTCCACTTTGTAATCCCCTTGCCCTCCCAAAGACAGATAAACAAACAAGACAAAATAAAAGAAATTAAAAACAGAAGAAACCCACTTCCAGTTCCTGAAATTCATTTTGCTAAGTATCATTTCATATGATCGGAGGCACATAGGCATTGTGCCTCTGTGCTCCTCTCCTAAGAGTATTCTCCTTTACATCATTGTATTTTTAACCTCTACCTTGCCTTATTTTTTTCTTCATGGGATCTGTTGTTATCCTACATGTTATTTGCTTACTACTTTTTTTCTGTTAAGTTCATCTATGAGGTCAGCAGCTTTCACAGTTTTATTATCAACAATTAAAATAATACATAACATATAGCAGACATGCAAAGATTGTTTATTGAATAAGTAAACTTTCTTCTGAACAGCAGAAGAAACCATCCTCATTTTGTTATTACAGTTATGTTAATGACTCAGTATTTTATGATACTAGTGTAAGAGACAACTTAAGATGCTTTTGCTGGAGCTTATGAATTAAGTAAAAGTCCCCTAACTTTGTGTCTGTGCCCTTTGATCTGAACTATTCGCTGCTGCAGTCCCTTTGTAATTACCTTGTTTTGAAGAGGAAAGAATATTTAGTGAGAAACATCTTTTGTGGAAGGTAACTTGCCTCTCAAACAGGTAATACCTTCTTATCATCTTAAAGAAAACAGCTCAAAACTCAGGAGATCACCTTGCCCTCAGTAATAAAGTGATAACAGTTCCCCAGTATTACTTGAAGGACAAAGTGAGCTAATGGCCAACCAGGCCACACATTTGTGACTTGAGACTATTTTAACCATGGATACCTTTCTTACTCCCTGACCACAATCTTATCTATTTAACCCGAAGCTAATACGTACCCCTGAAGATGTGCTGAAGTGCTGTCTTCCCATGGCTCCAAGGTACTAAACTTCTTTTCTTGGCCCTTCACTATATTTCTTCATTTGGGATATAAGTGCAAGTGGACAGGCCTACTGTAGAACTCCTGTACTTTGTGCTTGGGGGTCTAAAAACTCAATTTCACTACCAATGATATATCCTTAATCAAAGAAATCTGCTGTAAATTTGCTATTATCCTCTAAAAAAACAAGGAGACTAGAATATCACCCTAAACATATCTTCAGCTATTTCATGCATAGTATTTTGCTTGGTAATACAGTTCTGCAAAAACATTTATATAATTAAGATATTATTTTTATTATAAATAACTAAAAAATAAAGCCTTCTAACTTCTCTTATTATGCTTCCAAATGTGACAAAAACTTAGCAAACTAGGATCAGCATACAACTTATTTAATCTGATAAAAAATACTTTCAGAAAATCTATGATAAGCACCATACTTAGCAGAGAAACCCTGCAAACATTCCTCCTGTGAACAGAAATGAGGTGAACACACCTCCTAGCAACACTTCTATCTCTGTCTAGCTCAGATGGAGGAGCTCTCTTGTATAACCAAGTAGGAAATAAAAAGCAAAAAGGGAAAGATTAGAAGATTAGAAATAAAACAGCAGTTATTAGCAGATGTCATGACTAGGTACACAGGAAATCTTGAAAGTTTTACAGAGGAATCACCGGAATTCGTAAGTGAGTTTAGGCAAGTTGTTGAATACAGGTCATTAAATAAAATTCTGTTGGTAAGCCAGCAAACAAATAGAAGCAAACCTTTATGGTGTCACTAAAAGACATCAAGCACCTAAGGGTAAATCTAGTAAAGATATGCATGTCCCCTCACCAAGGATCACTGGTACAGAATGTAGAGAGACTCATGTTCTGTTCTTGGAAGAAACACCCAGGATCATCCTTATCTTTTTCTCTCTCAGGTCACATAGGATCTGTCAATAAATCCTATTGTTTCCTTATTCAAAACAGATCCAGAACCTGCCCATTTCATATACCTCCACCTTGCTCTAAGCCAGCAGATTACTGCAAGGACCACCTCCTACCTGGTCTCTCAGCCTGTTCCCAGGTGAGAACACACTCTCTCTTCTACAGGAATGTCCTAGCCTCA